GACAAACCTGCATCGTTGGCATATGATGCCCAATAGTTTGTTATACTTTAACGAAAATTTGAATTATGTACATAAATAAATAAAGTTATTTTCTGCTTTCATTATCCGTTTTATTTAATTTCCTTTCTTTACTGTAGGCAAGCAAAGAACACGTGACAGCATAGGGAGTTAGAGCATGCATGAGGAAAAGAAACCCTATGATGCATGGTTTTGGCGGCAAAATAAAGAGGGAAAGATATCTTTTCCCCCACTTTATGTCCAATCATATATTTCTCATTAATTGCAAAAATATTTTCCCTACGTGTAAAGTAAAAAATGCCCTGAAACCACTCATTACTTTCCAAAGAAATAACTGCCCAACCTCTTTTTCTTCATCGTGCCTCGTTCTCTCTCTACTAAACAAGAAAAAAAATTCAATGAATACCTCCCCATTGCCACCACTGATTTCAGCCAAGAACAATGGTAAGAACAAGGAAAGCCCCAACACAAAGTTTTGAACGATTCAAAACTGCGAAAGCAGAAACACATTTCAAAATATTTCAGAAACGTCAAGTATATTTGGAAGATGGATTTGTCTTCCCAGACACGGATGAGGAACCGTTTGGACCGGAAGTAATGGACGTGATACGGAAACACAACTGGGAGAAGTTTGCTCGTCATCCCAAAACTGTAGCACCAGCGATGGTAAGGGAGTTCTACGCACATCTTAAAGATCCATCCAACCACACAGTGTATGTATGAGGGAAAGTGGAGGAACAACACAAGCGATTCATGGCTGAGGCGGGTCAAGAAACATACAACGGAGTACTACAGGATTTATGCTTCGGGTGGGACAAGTTTGAAGGAAACGCCCCTACGAGGAAACGAGTAGATCGCCGAGCACTAAAACCAAATGTGAAGTTGTGGAATCACTTTCTCAAAGGCAAGCTGATGCCAACGTCCCACAACACCACTGTCCTCGTGAAGAGATTGATGCTTTTGCACTCGATCATATACGAGAGGAAGATAGACGTTGGAGAACTCATCTTCGAACAGATCCATGAATGCGCCAAGAGGAACCGGTGTAACCTACTATTTCCAAACTTGATAACCGCATTGTGCAAGAAGAAGAAAGTTCCTGAGGATCCCTTTGAGGATTTCATTAAATCCAAGGAGGGTAACACCAAGAAGAAGGTACCCGAGTTGATGAGTTTAAATGATGACGCCCCGCAGAAAGGTTTATAAAGAGGAGCAAAATCGGTTGTCGCGGCTAGAATGACTGCTGTGGTCACGCACACTCGAGAAACGCATAAAAAGATCGGACGCCTGGAGGACCACATGGAAATTTACTTCAAGTATGTCAAGGCGATGGACATGCAACTCAACGCCTTCTTCAATTAGTTGCTCCCGAACACTAACACCAGACTATCGACCTTCCCCAGTGTCATACTCAAATACAATGCGGGGGGCAGCACATACCATGCCTCGACATCACATGCCCCTCCAGAAGTTCCCCCAGGTGTGCCCACCGATGTGCCACCACTGGCAACCCATGTCCCACCCATACCAGAGGAAGGCCAAGGCGACACAGAAGAGTTCCTAAGCTCCTTCTCCTTTTCTACCTCCGAGAGCAGTCAAGATAGCCCACCCAACTTCTTCCCCGATGAAGCTTTTACTCCAGCATCGAAGTAACCCGAGCACGGCCCTATCCAGACCCCTGTCTGTCAAGCTACACCAGTCCCAGCAGCAGATCCTAGTTCAGCACCAGTTCCAGCACAACCAACTCCTACTACCGAGCAGTCAACTCCAGCACGTGCCTCGACCAGCAAGAAACGCTACAAGAGAATGGTAGGTCATATCCTCCAGCCATCTCCTTAGACACCAATAGCAGTAGACTCGAGATCCGAGAGTCCCTCTCCTCCCAAATGATGTCGAACGAGGGCGTCCAGCCAAGCCACCCCACCACAGTGAGTTTCTATTTTATTTTTAGTTTTTTTCTTTTTCGCATCTGTATATAGATTCATGTAGTTTTAATCTCATGCATTGAGGACAATGCATCCCTCAAGTTTGGGGGAGGTATTGTACCATATTCTGCCATACTTTGTTAGAATGAAGTTGATGATAATTGGTTGAAAATTTTGATTGTCATGACATAAGCAGGTTAAGATTATTGTTAGGAATGAATTAGGGATGCCCGATGATGAATGCATAATTTGATTTCCTAGGCCAGAATTATTGTTAAGACTATATAAAGAAGAGAACCAACCTTAGGCCTGATTCTTTGAAGTTCATAAACATGATTATAGGCTATATTTATTTCAGGTAATCTGTAAAATTTTTGGAAAAGAACTTACTGCTTGCCAAGACATCAAAAATATTTTAAGGGTGAAGTGAAAACTCTCTAGTGTTTAAAAACTTGAAAAATAAGAAGAAAATAAGAAGGGACACTCCTCTGTGCAAAGGCATAAACAGAAAAACTCCATAAGAAATTAAGAGTAGTCAAGGAACACAAGTGAATGAAAGTAGTCACAGGATGACTCTACCCTACTAGCTTGGGGTGGAAGGTATGCTCCCTTTTACCTAGAGTGTGGGACGGTAGTTGTGATGAGCTGACTCCTCTATGAAAAAAAGGAATAAAAAGTTGATAAATAACTAGGAGTATAAACTAAGCCTGACAAATAATCTGTTGCCTTGACAAACCAGAAGTTCTTACTTAAGTTTTATAATTACCTTTATGCATAGATTGGTTACAATCACGCACACACTATAGCAAAGAATCCTGACTAGGGAAGGGACTTGACTGATATGACTGTCGAACATGTTGAGGCCAAACAATTTTTATTGAGGGCTGAAATCTCAAACCATATGATTTTCTTAACTCTGCTTTGCCATGACAATTTTTATTTTCTTCTAGCTATTGTACATTGCTTGAGGACAAGCAATAGCTTAAGTTTTGGGGTGTGAACTCCGTAAAAAGACTCAATTTTCAGTCTTTTCACTTAAGTTATTTCTCGTCTAAACAAAGTATGCACAACATTTTAGTTGCATTTAGTTGCATATAGATTACATTAGCTTGTGGTGGATAAATTTTGCTTAGGCAAGATTTATTTGGGTTGAGTAATGCTGTTGAGTAGAAAGGGTTGTTTGGATTGTGTTTGTGCAGGAAACCTACAGAGGAAGAACATTTCAGTCGTGACAACGTAAATTTGCAAAGGCCAACGGAACATATGAGAACGTGAGGAGTAGTTTTATCTCGCCGAGGCAAGGTTTATCTGAAGAAGTCTGAAGCAGGAGTGACGAAACCGCCTATGCCACAAGCTAGCTGGATAACCTACGTCACGCGCAAGAAAGCCTTAATTATTCTGAAAATCGCCTTTCCTTTTTAGTTTGGACATTCAATAACAGTTATTTAAGGAAACTCCAAAAACATGCAAAAACCTAGGAGATTTTTCCTTATATATAATCAGTCGTAGCCGAAAAAGAAAAAAAGGCAAGGAAGAAGAGAGAATAGCTTTACCCAAGGCATTAGCAAGCAACTGCATTGGTTCTTCACCGTCTACCCACCGACCTTCCTTGGTGTCCTCCATAACCAAACATTAGCAGAGCGGTGATCAGGCCTCGAGAGAAGGTGATCACCAAGGCAGGCGTAGTGCTAATCAAAATTGTCGCGGCAGAGCCCCCGGTTTTGGGAGTCGTTCTTCCTTTGTTTTTAACTCTTTATCTATTTGGGGTTGTATTAAACGTTGAACCTTGGATGACTTTTGATAGCATCATGACTATCTTACTTGATATTGAACTTTGTTTTGCCTGAACAATATTTTTAAGTTTATGAATGATGAATTATGTTTTGCGTATGACTGTTTTGCTCATTTTTTAAATATTTTACCTTACGCTGTAAGAGCATCGAGAGATCGCCTGGGGTTTTGGTAAAACATGTCTTGGCAATGTAAGAGCCTCGAGAGATAGCCTTTTGTCTAGATAGTGATTCTTAGATTCGAGAGAATTAAGATAGATCCACATGAGCAATGGAATGAATCCGGGATGGTGAAGTTCTAACTTGATACCTTAGAGATAAGGAGTGAGTTTCAATCGACTAAAAGGGATAGACGCTAGTGTAGGATAGACAACGCCTATAGTTTACGCTGAGAGGTATTGCTACAACAACAGTTTGACAAACCAAGGGTTGTAGTTAACACTAAGTAGTATTGCCATAGCAACCGTCTAAGAATACCTAGTAATCCTGTCGGGCAGCTTAGTAAGTCATAATAATTCATTTTGAACTTAGAAATAATTGTTGTCGAAGCAAAAGTTTAGCATCAGTGCTCTGTGATATGTCTGAATATGTGAGGTTGTTTGCATTATATTTAAAGTAGCACTTGTCTTGTTTTGTTTTATTATTCTGCATATTTATTTTGCCTCGACCAAACTTTCCTGAACTCATTAAATCACTTCTTTGTTTTATTAATATTAGTTCTTAAGCTGACAACTTAGTAGGGACTTAGTTTGTGACACTAGTACTAGTTGTGGTGAAAACATATTTCTCGACCAATCCTTGTGGAGACGATACTCACTTAACCTATATTACTTGAATCGATTGTGTATACTTACACAGATTTGCTTGCCTTAACATATACATTTACAAGCGATCAACTACCTATCATCCAGAGACAGATGGCCAAACAGAGAGGCTTAATCAATGTTTGGAACAATATTTAAGGTATATGTGTTTCTTGAAACCAAAGACTTGGTCAAAATGGTTAGCTCAGGCTGAGTGGTGGTACAACACTAACTACCATACTGCTCTACAAATTACACCATTTGAAGCTTTATATGGGTATAAGGCCCCTAATGTGACATGGACAATAGATTCTAGGGTGGATGCAGTGCAGGATTTAATGCGACAAATAGAGAAATTGAATTCATTATTAAGGGAGCAACTAGTTAAAGCTACCAATCGAATGAAGCAGATTAGTGACAAACATCAGACAGAAAGGGAATTTCAAATTGGAGATGAAGTTTACCTGAAGCTTCAGCCATACAGACAAACATCACTTGCCCTTAGGAAAAATTTGAAGCTTGTTACTCAATATTTTGGGCCTTACAATATATAACAAAAAATTGGTCATGTTGCTTATAAATTAGATTTTCCATCAAATTCAAAACTACATCCAGTTTTCCACGTGAGTCTACTTAAGAATAAAGTAGGGAAACAGGGACTAACCTCGATCGATCCTCCAGAAGTAGCATCGAATGGGAAACTGAAGATCTACTCAGCCCTTGTTTTGAATCAACGAGTGGTTACAAGACAGAATCGGGCAGTCATTCAATTGCTCATTCAGTGGACAAATATGGGACCAACAGACGTAACTTGGGAAGATTATACTGTGTTGAGACAACAGTTTCCTGATTTTGATCCCTGGGGACAAAAATCTTCTGGAGAAAGGGGTATTGTTATGATGGCAGGAGAGTTAGGGTTCGACCGAGAGGAATTGGGGGCAAATAGGATTGAATTGGGAGAGTTAGGGATTGGAATTTTACCTAATGAAGAGAGAAGTGGCACAGATGGATTAAAGGCTCAAGGACAAAGCACGTGGGAGCAAAATCAATTGGGCTACATCAGACATAGACCCAATTATCTCTCCAACAGATAAGGGGTGTGAGTTGGGCTTGGAGGAGGCAGTGGGCTAGGTTGAATAGTCCAAATTGGTAGATGGCGTGAGTCAGCAAAATTCTGTTAATTTGTTAGATTTATTGTCTTGATACAACTGTAGGTACTTGTAATTATATAAGTGTACCTCGTCCTTCTAAGGATCATCTTTTTGGAATGAAATCTAAACGTTTTTTGTATTCTCTTTCTTTCTAATTTTTGAAATCCCTAAATTCTTATACTTATTTTCCCTAAAACATAACACTGTTATGCCAGAAAAAATATGTTGAACGTGAGACACATATACCAGTCAAAAGCAATCAAAACCTAAATGCCAATTTTAACATTTAGGACTGTTAAGCATCCAATCGTAAATCAAATGGATGTAGGTGGAGGGTCCAACTTTAATAAAAGACCATATAACAGATATGGGATAATATCACTTAACACTCGCCCTCCACCCTGTATGTGAACAACCTCGAGGGTCATCAACCTCGCTTGGGCAATAAAAAGAACATAACAGAACCTACGCTTAGATACATTTTAAGCATCCAACCTAAAACTAATTGGCAATATGTGGAGGGACCCAACTTTGATACTATAAGGCCGCACAGTACACAAGGCCAAAAAGGGACTATTGTGGTGGTGTCACCCACATTAGACAACTAAATATGCTAGTTAGTCCACATATAAAGGCAGCTTGTGTTGTATGGGGGTGTTTAAAGATGGTATATTTTTTCTCTTTTAGAGAACGAGTTTTCAGGAAAAAGAAAATGAACAAGCAGCAACCGCCAGCAAGATCTCTCTTCCACATGGTAACACTGAAATTCCCTTTCCCCATTAGTTATTTCACATCATTTCAGGATATATTATTCATCTATAGATCTTCCACAGACATCAAGATTTCAATAAAGGACAGCAGTGAAACCTTAAATAAGAAAGCCACATAGAAGATCTGAGCTTCCTAACAACTAGCTAACAATAATCATGAGAGAGACCTTTCACTGGTTGAAAAAATTCTTGGGAACTCTCTTGTGAAATAAAAATCAGAGATTCCAAATATGAACAGGATACGAGATTCCAATACAATCATACCTTAACAAATGAAAGTAATTACTAAACATAAATAGCAAAAAGAAGTATCAAATTAGACAGTGCAAAATAAATCTTAATCAAGATACTTCTAAAGGTGCATAGTTAATCCAAATGAAAAACAGGAAAAAAAATTAAACCACAACTAATTCACCTGAGTTCATCCTCCGTCCAAGCAGTCCCCTTGCGACGTTCCTGGTCCAACTTTGAATTTTTACTCCCGTGATTTGAATCATTGTTACAAGGCCCTATATGGTTGCTTCCCTTCTTACCAGTACCTTCGTCACATACTCACAGGCATGGCTGGTTGAACGCTCAGAATAAGAATTATACGGTGGAAGAGGCACACAACTAGATACAAATCGATTAACATCATCTTCCAGAAGCTCGTAGTGTTCTTTAATCTCTTCCAAAGTTTTCCCAGGTACATCGGCCGCAATTTTCTCCCACCTAACCAAAGAGTCCTAGGGATAAGTTGCAAGGGCATTCTCAAACGCCTTATCTAGCTCCCTACTCCACTCGGAGCTGTTTCCAGCTTCATCCACAGTCATCTAGGCTTGTCTAAATCTACAATCAAGATTGTCACCCAGGAAGAAAGAAATGATTTTCACTAAACTGCCAAATTAGGATAGTCTGTAATCAATACCATGAATTTTCGACAATACTTTCTTGGGTAATTTCAATAGTGGGCTTCACTAATAACAGATCTAATGGAACACTTAAATTATGGAGAAGCAGAGATGCGGTGCAAAACAGAGAAAATAGACCCAGAAAAGGCCAAGCAAGTTTAACTAGAGATGAAGTCCAAAAAAATTCAGAAGGCACCAGTGGAGTATACGAAGAATTCAAAAATGATTTGCTCCACCATTCAAAAAATGGACTATTGTAAATTGCTGACCTATTAATGAATGAAAAGGCCACAGAATTCTGTTAGACATCAGAAATATCTTAAAACCACAAATGCCAAATTCTAATTTGAACAAACCTACTCGATAACAACAGTTTTAACAACAGAGGCCCACATGAAAGTTACCAGCAAACACTATTTTCAATGTTAATTGGGGTTTTTCTTTGCTAATTGATTGGCAAGAAGAATCATATATCCAAATCACATATGCACTACAGTTTAAATCTAAGTGGTCATTCTAAAGGATATATCCTTTTAAGTTCAAAACAGGAAAAAATTCCAGTGAAAGACTCAAAACTACAAGTTACAATTTCAGGGATTTTGAAGTTTGTGCTTACAGTTTAGGTCAATTGATTCATACATACAAAGAAATGTATTTTGTATTCAAAATTGAACATTTACAATTACAATCCTTAGAGAATCAGTATTTTTAGGTAAAATTAACAAGAAAAAAGCATATATGGAACTTCAAGGAATGAACAAAATAATTTTGGATGCTAGCCATAATTAGCAAACAACCATCCTGAAAATCATTACTTCTGGTAACATAAAAACAAAAGGAAAATACTAAAAGTGCAAACCCAGATACCAAGGTTTCATATTAAAAAAAATATATGATTTTATAATATGTTAAATTCTCATTGAAAATGATTACCCAATACTTCTATTATCTTAAATTCATCTAAAAAGGTCCAGAATAACTGTAGATAACGCTACTACCAGTGTCACTATCAACATTCCGATACTTTGACCGACTTTAAGATAAAATAAAATTATTAAACCAGCATTAAATCAAACTTTTAACCAACCCAATATCAAAATCATGACTTTTTTTTTTTTTTAAGTAAAGTTTCTGCGTGTTGTAAGTTTACCGAGTGAAATTATAACCCGGTAATAATAACGAATACGTGGTATGCAGAAACTTTTGAAAAAGAAAAGACGGGAACACAGAAGAAAAGTTCAAAAAAGACAAAGCAAAGATCATAAATGATGTTGATGGGTTATCCTGAGAATTCACAAGTTGTAGGATGGCTCAATTAAATACCTCACTTCAACCACTAATTTGCTTAGAAATAATAAGACACTGGGGGGGATTGAAAAGCGCCGAAACCCTTCTTCCAACTTGCCCACTCCAATCTGCATTTCCTATAAACTACAGACAATTTATATATATTCTCGCTAAATCAGGTGATATTGTGAATGAAAAAAAAAAGAAAAGAAATCTAGACAATATGGATCATAGAAAATTATGATATTTTTTAACTTTGTTCTAGGAATAAATAAATAAAATAAAGAGAACCTTTAACGTTATTAAATTACGAACATAGAAAATAATATATATATATATATATATATATTTATATATATGGTCGAAAATTAATAATAAAATGAGAATTATTATAATTTGTACCTTATAAAAATAAAAAAATTATATAGTTAGAATGCTCGAATTATATAAATCAATTTATTATGATCCATCCATTACGATACTTACCTAAACACAAATTTGAGAAATGTAATTTGAATTGTAACTTTATCCAAATACTATAATCCAACTATAATTATGATTAAGGATTATATTTTTTTTTATTAATATGAACTTGATTCAAGTATTATATTTGTTTATTTTTTTTATTTGACCTAAATTTACAGAAATTTCACCTGACTCGAAATTGACTTATTTTTTAAGGATAAAAGTTTATATCCAATTCAAATAGATCTGTCTCAAATATTTATATATATAATTTTTATTTTTATTCAGTAAAATATAGATCTAATTAAAAAATATATATAGACATAAAAGTATTAATACAATTATCTTTAAATATATAAGAGATGATTATATTATTAACTCCACATGATACCACATAAAACTCTAATATGATCCAAACACAAATTAAAAAAAAGTATTTTATAAAATCATATTGAATCTAAATCTCATGTGTATTCCTAATTATAATGGATATGATAAAGACGAGTTTATTTAACGTTTTATAAATTAATTTAATGATACTCATCGTCAGTTATGCTCATTGACGGTTTTAAACTTTTTCTTAAATTAAATAATGGTTTAAACTTATTAGCGGATATAAAATTAAACAACTAATTCAACTTAAACTAAATCTCATATGAATACGATGAGGATGAGCTTATCTAATAAATCTCACTTCAACAGATCTAAATGTAAACAGAGGACTCTTCCACCAAAGCCATCTCTCCTCGTCCGTCAATCCTCAGTCCAAAATTTTCAACATCTCTAAAAAGCTCTTCCCCTTGCTTCAATTTTAAGATCGGATCTCTTGTTTGCATTCTCTTAAACCCTGATATTTTGATGACCCCTTTTCCAGATTTTTCTAAGGGGTAGATCACTTTTTTCAGAACAAATTTTCATCAACTTTTGGGTGGTTTCTGGATATGGGAAAAGTTTCAGCCATCGTATACATTACTGTGGCTCTTCTAGTACTCTTTCTAATCTCACACTCCCCTAAGAAACACTCCGGCCACAACCGCCATCGCCGCCTAAAGCTCCGCTCTTCTTTCAGCTTCAGCAATCCCACCCGCCACGAGCCCGTGCCTTTTGACCCTCTCGTCGCTGACATCGAGCGCCGCCGTGAAGACCGACAATGGGAGAAGCAGTATTTGGAGCACACGCATCCTGAGTTTACAGATGACCACGCCCCGGGTCACGAGTCGAAGCCCGAGTGGGAGGATTTCATGAATGCTGAGGATTACTTGAATGACGAGGAGAAGTTCAACGTTACCAACAGGTTCGTGGTATTACATTTAAAATCCACTTTTAAGTTCATGTTAGTGCTTCTTTTGGTTATGAAGTGTTCCAAAGTTTTAAGCTTTGATTAATACTTTAGCTGCCTATTATAGTTAAAAATTTATGCTTTATGAAGTCACATGCTTAAAAACTTGATTACTGCTACTATTCACGAGGAAGCTGTGTTTTATATGTTCACATCGATGCTTCCTACTTTTAGTTTTTTTGCTAATGGCTATATTCGGTTAAGTTTTTTATTTGTTCAAGTGCATTATTAATGGCATGCTAGATGTCTTTGTTATTGTAACTAGTTAGATATGAGTAGGCTTAATGACATTTGTAAATTACTTGTTAATGGGTAAAATGCGATGATTTCGTCGGTAATATAAATTGATAGTACCAGTGTATATGTTTGCATGGTGATGCAATGCTTATGTAAACTTCGCACCCATGCTTATATGCTTGTGGATGCAACGAGAGTAACATTTTGATAGATTTTGATCGAGTGGAGGTTTAATGTAATGAACAGGTTGGTATTGCTATTTCCCAAGATTGATGTCAACCCAGCAGATGGCTTCGTGACTGAGAACGAATTGACCAATTGGAACCTGGAACAAGCAGCAAAGGAAGTCTTGCACAGGTCTACGAGGGAGATGGAAACTCATGACAAGAACCATGATGGGTTTGTTTCATTTGCAGAGTATGAGCCTCCCAGTTGGGTGAAGAATGGTTAGTTGTTTATGCCATTACATTACTAAATTTTAATTCATTTAACAGTGCAAATCCTCTGTACTTTTGCTATATCTTCTAGTTTTGTAATTTTGGTTTGTTTTTAAAGCGAAATTGTTATTTGGCTTGAAGTGTTTGATGGGTGGATTTCAAAAATTAGTTGCTTTATATAATCCCATCAATTTCTGATTTATTGAGAGAGAATCGAGGCATGAAGCCAAAACACTGTAAACATCCGTGATCTGTTGTACAAAATAACCATGTGGTAATTTACTGTGTTCCCTTTTCCAGACAACAATTCTTTTGGCTATGATATGGGCTGGTGGAAAGAGGAACATTTTAATGCAGCAGATGCTGATGGTGATGGTTTATTGAATGTAACTGAGTTCAACGAGTAAGTACCAAATTCTACAGCAAGTTTCACCTGATCTACTCCTGGCAAAAGATGCCATTTTTAGTTGCATGAATTTCTTCTCCCATAATTTTTCTGCTTCTTGTTTTCCTAGCTTTCTGCATCCAGCTGATAGCAAAAACCCAAAACTACTTAACTGGCTGTGCAAAGAGGAAGTAAGGTAACATGAATTTTATTTCTTTTTCTTTTTTACCCAAGGCTATTGTATATGTAAAAAAGGAACAAATTCATGCTTATATTGTATAATTTGGGTTCAAGAGATAAAAGGACAACAGTTCACTGTTTTGGGGCATGTTATCCTATTTGCATTTGATCCTCCATTTCTACTAGTGCCTTCAAATTACTATTTAATTTTTGCTTCTTTTTCCTTTTCAGGGAAAGGGATACAGACAAGGATGGGAAGGTTAACTTTGAGGAATTTTTTCATGGGCTATTTGACTTGGTAAGAAACTATGATGAAGAAGATCACAACTCTTCTCATCCATCTCATGACTCATTGGAGTCCCCGGCTAAATGGTTGTTTAGCCAGCTTGATAAAGATGGTGACAGGTACATTTTATGTTTAGTGTCATTGTTGAACTGAGAAGTTTGTTGTTTGGATGGTTAATAAATATATAGTGCTTCTTATTAACAGACTCTTGTCCGATGAAGAACTTCTACCGATAATTGAGAAAATTCATCCGTCAGAACGGTACTATGCAAAACAGCAAGCTGATTACATCATAACACAGGTACTATGACACCAAAGAATTGAGGAGTACTACACATGGATTTCTATGAATTTTTCTGTCATTCTATTATATTCTTTTTATTGATTCTAGGAGTCACCTTTTTATTAGATGTATTTTTGCTGAATCCATGTATTGCAATTAGACATGTTTGGTTGTGCATTTGCATTTTGAACTTGGAATGTAATGTAATGCACAGAGCGGATTAGGAACAGTGTGTTTGTGCACTTTTGTTGTCTATCACCCGTGCGACATGGGGATCGACAAAAGGTGTTAGACTTGTGTATTGACATGTCAACCAATGACATCATAATGATGCTTCACGGTTGGCAGGTATTTTGGTATTTTTGGGGTTTCAAAATAGTGAGGAAGAAGAGCAAGATGAGGTAAAATATACTAAAAGTCGGATTGTTTGGAGTGGCAAAACTGGGGTGTTCTCAAGGTTGTTTTCATGTGTTGATACTAGATTAGGGGTTTTGGAGGTTTTCTTTTTGTAAGAAATCTGGACAAACAGAGAAAGGAGAACCCGTGTGAAAATTTGATGCCAACAATGGAATCTGGGTTTGATGTGGGGTTCGATAGGTTGAATCTGTAGAGAGTTTAAAGAGGAGAGAAATCCCTTGTTTCTCTTAGACTTCCTTTTATGTACTAAAAAAGTTGTTTATTTGACTGCAGGCGGATTCTGATAAAGATGGTCGTTTGAGCTTAATCGAGATGATAGAGAACCCATATGTATTTTATGGTGCCATCTTCAGTGAAGATGAAGATGAAGATGACTACGAATATCACGACGAGTTCCGCTAAATCTCAAATTTCATGATAGGCAAGTCTTTTGATCCATAAACAATCATTTAGGCATTCCTTACTCTGTATTTTCTTTTGTCTATTTTCCATTTTTGTAATGGACCTCTTTTCACTATACCTTTGCAGGACACAGAGACAACAATAGGATTCAGTCATTCACTTCCTTTTCTTGCAAGAACTGTTTGCTTAAAAGAATTAGTAACTATGAAGTTTTTGTATACGATATTTATTTTCAAATTTTCTTGAGAGCTTAGGGTTTGTCATGATTGAAAACCCTCACAAAATATGAAGATATTAGTTATTATTTTATAAGGTATTGTATGAATCGACTTTGCCACCGACTGAACTCATGATTATTTTGTTGAAACATGTCTTACGGACAATGCTGCCTATAGAAACATGACATTTTACATTACAACAAATCAGGCAATGCTCGTGCTTCATCAAAGTAAAAATTTAATCGATCTCGAATTGAACATTTTGAATCAGATCGTAGCTCACAATAATCCTTTGAAATTATTGAACATCTCAAACTGCATTTGATTTTCAGAAATACATCCAACTGGGAACAACCATTAAAATTTTGTTCCATAGATCTTCAACCCGGATTTCTAAATGGTGGAATCACCCCACAGTCAATCCAAATCCAAATTTGTAGTCTTTCTTCCTATGATCTATCTGCAAAAACACAACACCGGTGAAAAATGGTAAGGCTCCAATCAATAAACACGAAAAGGACTAAACAAAACATCTCTTTTATATTACTTCTGCAGAGAGAATGAAGTTTAAGCCCATATTTAATCTCTCTTCCAGATATGAAGTCGTGCATCCATTCGAATCGATCTTTCCCCTCAACCGACACTGAAAATGTGGAAAAAATAATAATTCACCAGAATGATGGTCCAGTTAAAATCGACAAAAACTGCATGCAAGAGCCAACTAAAGTTATATATAGAGGAAACCAAAGACTGCTTTGTAAAGTTCCTTTCAATGATATCCGGAAGGCAATTCAGTGAATACATAGAACAATATAAATGCTAAACACTAACATTTATAGGCATGCAGAGAACATTAGTGAAAATGCAGCAGCCAAATGTTTACCTGTCTAAGAATGTAATCATAGCCGACACTTGCAGTTACATCTCTTGACAACTAGTTATACATGAAATCCGACGCAAGAGAAACCTTGATAGAAATAAATATTGGTAAGAACTAAGAATTACTAGGAATCAAATTGCAATATTATTAGAAGAGAAAATAGGCCTTACCTTATCAGATACCTTCTGAACATAGCTCAAAGCAACAATTCCAGTATTTGCAACTTGCCCTGTGGCAACCTGGAGCCAAAGAGAGCTTTGGTTGGGTATCATGCGCACATAGCGAACGGATGTTATTTCTAACATTAAAATTACAATTCCACATCTCGGCAAATTTAAGAAGCAAATTATTATTTTTTATAGATAAAAACTCAGATTTGTAAGAAGCATTGCCATCAAATATCCATTGACCAACAGGTATTCTGAATATCTAAAACCTTCATGGAGCTTAAACCCTTAAACCAAGATCTTCTTTTGTGTCTATAACACATGTGCCCACTTGGAGTCATCAAAATTTGACCTTGAAGTTTAACTTGCTAAAAATGAATAATTATACTAACTAGTTCTGAATGCACATTCAGTTTTACCATCAGAAAGGCAGCATTAAACCATGTAATTGATTCCAATGACTTTGTTTGCCCAAAAGCCATTGAAAAGAAAGGAAATCCTGATTCTCACAACTAGGCAACGTTATTCAGGAGTTTGGTTAGGGATCTAAAATCCAAACTACACCCCTACTTTTGTAACATGTCTAGAAACATAGTTAGAAGCATTGGAAATGCAGCAACTATTGGACAAAATATTGACAAGCCAATGATCAAGGAAAAATTACATTACCATCTTATCTGTTTCATATCGGGCAGCATAACCAATGCCCGACTTTCGGTGCTGACCAGCCCAAAAATACTTCACCCCCCAAGGAGAAATGTGGTGTCACACTCTGCACAAATATGGCTTAGATTCAGTATATTAATAACAACAAGCTGCAGAGGTAGCGGATTCAATGGAATATTGACAATTAATGTATGCAATGCCTCTTTAGAACAGGAAACAGAATCCACAATGCAAAAGGCCTTCAATAAAGGTCTAGGTTGCTTACATCAATATTGGTATATGTATCTTCTAGCATTTTTTATTGAGAGGACCGAAACTATAGCAATACAAGAGAAATTACAATTCCACATTATTTTGTGTCTGGGTACAGTAAAAGTGATTTTTCTAGGTATCATCCAATAACTAGTTCCTACATTGAATTCAAAATCATAATGTGGCTTCAGATTATTTACCTGGATATAACTAGCACCAAATAAGGCACCATTTCCCATTTGGAACTGAGACCTTAAGTCTTTACCCTTCACAAGGAAAAAAAAGTCACAAAACGAAAGACAAGTCATATTTCATTGCGGCAAGCCCGAGCCACCACATAAATTTTGTTTACAAGCACAAAAATAATGATGAATAAACTCAAAAAAAAAATCAGAATATCAGGTATGACACTTTCAATGATGACACAAACAAAAATATACATGGATGAAAGCCAACAAGACAAGATATACAGTTGAGCGACCGACCTTGTAATCGAAGTTGAACATGCCATGCGACATATGAGGCTCATTTGTGATCTGGAACAAGAAACAAAAAACTATCAATGTGTTTTAGTGTTTACACAAGAAAAACATATACTGCAACTAAACAAGAAAAGCAAAAGACTAAACGATATATGAAAACATGATTTACCTGAGCATTAGCCTTCACAGTAAGATTGTCTGTCAAATCCCATTTCACTCTTGCATTGAGTCTACCATCAGTCAACACCCTCCCAATAAGCATCAACTAGAAGACCATAATTGATCCCACTTTTAACTTTATTTATTAGGATAAAAAAAATTGAGGAAAAGAGGGTGAACTGGAAGAGTAGAGATAATGAGAGAAGCAACCTACATTCGGGTCAATGAAGTTGGCACCAAACTCATAGTGAGAAGTAGGAATTTTAATGGTTTCGGCAGATTGAGAAGGAATTTCTGTTGGGCCCATAAAGACACTGAGAAATGTTTCAGAACAAAGAGATACCAGAATCAATTAAGATAGAAGAGAAAAAGATTAAAGAAAATAGTAGTAATTATATATAAATAAAATAGAATATAGGAGGAGCTGAATCTACCTGTGACTGAGAGAGAATTTCTGATTTAGTCCTTTGGTGAAATCAAATCGTAATCCTTCAAAAGTTTCCGGCTTCAGAGACACTGCCAAACATTTTCAAGCGATAAAGAAAATATTAGCTTTTCAACAAGAAGAACAGAAATTAACCACCTTTGGAGAACATTCTTCTTTCTCTATCATAACCATGCTAAAGATGCATCATAATGCCCTAGAATCCCAATATGCATAAGAAGACACAACTGAACAGGACACCTAGCATGTAAAAGATGCTAAAGAAAATACGCCACTAGAGAAAGATCAAATTTCAAAGAACTCAAGATAAAGATCCACACAAAGAACCCTTGAACCTCAATAGCCTAGCAACATTTTACTTAAAAAAATCTTAGTAGTGGATCACTCTCACATGTTTTTTTTTCTTCCCTAATAAACCATTTCTGTCCCTCATTGCCAAACATTACTATCCATTGGCCATTCTCTTTTCACACAGCAGCTTAAGAAACTACTATAATGTCAAATTGGGTTTGTTATTAATAGTCTACTTGTTCATTTTATGAAATCCAGAGACATTGCTACCCCAAATCTTAAGCAGCAATTTATTTCATAAAAAAATCACTTAAGATCAATTAAAAACCAAAATCCTATCAATCTTCTTAAGAAAAAAAAAGAATGACTTCATCATCAAAACAATGAACCCATCATTGTCACTAATCAGAGCAGCTAGGGTTCTAAGAAAGGGACTCAACAACGAAAAACTAAATCTCTATCCCCTCCTTGCAAGTGACTTCACAATCTCTAGTCATTATGTTAAACCGTAAAATTCCACATACACCTATAGATCAAGAAATGAATATCTAAGTTTCTCTTTCTTTTTTTTATTTAAAGAACAAAAAGAACCGCATCCATGATCTAAAGATACAGTTACAATCAACAAAGAAACTCCATATACACAAAATGAAAGAGAAAATAAAACTAACTGAGAGCTTCACGGTGGCGTTCTTCATAAGGAATAGGGCAAGGGAGGTTCATGTAATCGGTTTTCTCGTTATGTTTGGTGTGAGCCGTGTGGGAAACATCGGCCGGAACCGCCGTAGTACCAGGAGGTACAAGCCCCGCCATTTTTCGTCTCTTGTTTTCTGAAGAGGAATTTGCCGCAAAATGAAAACGGCCGCGAGAGTGTGTAAAGCAGAAAAACAAATGGGGAAGCAGATTGGACTTGCAGTAGTTGCGCAACGCTCATCGTGGGTTTTAGCCAGGGTTTTAAATATTGTCAAATTATAGCTATGATCCCTCCACTATGCTTCATTTGTACATTTAATCCATATTCTTTTATTATACTTAAAAATTATCAGTTAATCTAAATAGATAACACCAACATAATTAATTATTATTTAGATAAACTACATCGAATACCACTGAGTTTAATCTAAAAACAACTTTTTCTATTTCTAGACCAATTAAATTAAGGTTAACCATATGAAAAATCACTTACGTTTATGTTTTGTCCAATTTTGGTCACTGATTTTAAAAATTATAAGATATGATAATTTTTGTTTTTATTTAATTAAGATGTAGTCACTCCGAGTTAACTGTCATTGACAGCAGTTAAATATTTTGATAGAATTACACATTTGATCCCTTTTATTTACTACTCTCAACCTAGTCCTACTTTTAATAAATTAAAATAAATTTAATTCTCCAATCAAATGATGTCACATGTCATGCCATGTACGGGTGAGCGTTCGATCGAGCTGATTCGAGTCGAATCAAGTCAAAAAAAGTGTAAGTTATTCGAGTTGATGAGTCATATTTTACTACTCGAAGTTGACTTGAAATTTTTTAGAATCGAATCGAGTCAAATTTTTGAGTGTCTATTTAAATTTAATTATAAATATTTATAATATTATGATATTATTTGATTCCAATTTAAATGATCTTTTATAACCATATACAATACATGCGTAAAAGGGAGTAGTTCTATCTTAGCCATTGACAACTATTTACAAGAGAAAGGGAATAAAGAGTGAAAAGTTCTTCTCTTGTGTTTGATTTCTTGGATAGGTGTTCTATCTCTTCTTCAAGTTTCC